AACAAACTCCTTCAAATAAATGGTAGTAAAGATAGTTCGTCGTATATTATCAATCGTATGAATTTAATACAGTTTTAGAAGTTGAAGACATGGGTTTTGTGGTTGGGAACTGGGAAGAGTTCTGCTTTGTGGCTTGGAATGCAGCCGTTGTATAAGACGTAAAAATCAGGGATTTGGCGTTGTAAACAGAGCGAGGACAATGTCTAAATTATTCATATATTGTAATTACTTAATTCTTTTCAATGATCTGTTGAATTGGTAGCCGTTGCCGTCGCGTTGCCGTCCTAAAATCGTAAGGTCTCTGAATTGCTCAAGTATCTACGATTCTATGCTGTCAAATATTTAGGGCGGCAAGCGGAATTTGCTCGTCGTCCACTAAACGTAGACAACATCGTGGATACAAGAGCATAACAAACGGTAATGGTTCACACGTCTCTTTTAAATTCATTTTCGTAACGGACCCTTTTCGATTTAGTAACACTTTTCGCTAGACGTGATGAACTCTCTAACACTTATTTGAGATGATAGCCAGCGATACAGATCATAAGCTGGCTTCACTTCTTCCGCTGAAGCCTGAAGGCTTCCGACACCATAAATCTGCGTAGGATGAGAGACTATCAAATTCCAAAATTTAGAACTAATAGATTTAAGAACTCTTTTATAATTAGTCATGCTATCGAACGTTATATAATATAGAAGTTAGTTATATTGAACATTATTTGGTAAATAGTAGATGTAGTATATTGTAAAATTCTTAGCACGTAATTCAGCCTGTGGATGCTAGGTGTTTTTTATTGGAATAAACGATTTATCCATCATTCAAAAGAATGTAAATATTTATAGTTTAAATGTCTGGAAGTTTATTTATTTAGGACGTCCTAGTCCCAGTCCTCTGCTTAGCCCCTGACGTCGTAGATGTGGCTAAAGATGATGCAGGCTATAAAGACAGACACGCACAGATCTTTCACTAAATCCTGCATGAAATATTTGCGGTGTTTAGCAGTCAAACTAGAAGCCTCTTCTCGCATGCGACTGAGGTGAAATAGGTAGGTAATGCGCACGACCTCGCGCACGGAAAGAACTGAACATCAACACGTAGTTAGGTCTATAGTTAAGCCTGGTTTCCATTAAATCGTAATTATCGCAATAGTCGCGGAACGCAAACATCGCTATCGCAAAAATCGCAG